ATAATACTGAACAGGTTATACCTTATTATCTTTTATTTTAACTAAATGACTAAATTTTTCATTTCTCTGATAGTATATAATTAAGGTAGAACAGATTAATATCAAGTTTGTTGGATGAGTATGTAACAGAATTTAAATCTCAAAAGAAGCTATTCAACAAAGTAATAAGGGAGTGCATAGTCAACTGAAAATCTCTCAACAATAAAACTCCTAAGTATAAGTTGTAGTGACCTGCTTTTACCAACGGAACGCGATTGATTTTTTATAACCAATTGTACCAGTGATTGTTTTACTGTGCTCGTTTGTTTAACTGTGCTAAAGACAACCATATTCCCCCTCCATTCCTGCTCCATTATCTTTCGATTGTGACCTTGCACGGGTTCGGTTACGCTCGGTTACCACGCTTGTACTCGGTATCCCTTCGATACCACGAGAATGCCAACAAATGCATCTCGACTACAGCCATCAACTGCCTTCTGATATTTGGCTTACGGGGGATTTTATCGGTTAACTGGCATGTAGTCTTCTTTTAGTGGTGTTCATAGTCAACAACGACTCGACTCCACGCTACAAAGTTTTCAAGTCATGTCAAAATCATTTTTCTCAATAATCATCCAATAAATAATTGTCTTGATATTTACATGGGAATAGATTAATTCACATGTTTGAATTGGACAATTATTCCATTAAGGAATATATAACTTATACAATTAACGATAGCAGAGAATGATGATCTATTCACTTTTCTAAAAATATTAGTTAATTGATCTGTTAATAGAATAGCAAAATTTATTTCTTATTCATTTTGAACACAGTCATTGAATAATTATAATATACCTCTAAGCAGTTCTTTGTAAAATAATGAAAATTCCCATGTTGGCAATCGGTCAAAATTTTGATTTCAATTAGTTATTGATCATGATTCTACATTAATATGTATATCATTATAGGGTTGTGGAGATTGTTGATGATGAACCGATCAATATTTGATCATCATTGAAAACCTGGGTTTATAGTTACCTATTTACTTACGCCTGTTACCGTTCGTAAAGGGAGCATATTCCGCCCATCAGCTTTCTTCATCCAACTCTGTCATGAACATCTTTTCCATTTGTTTCCAGTTGCTAGTCATTCTTTTAATTTTCGACGCAAAGTGTTATTTGGTCTTTCTTATTTCCTTTTCCTACCAGGATTCCAAGTTAGAGATTGCTTAGTGATGAAGTTTAGTGATTTCCTCAATATGTGTTCTATTCACTTCTGACGTTTTTTTTTCGATTTCCTCTTCAATTTGAAGCTGGTATGTTATCCCTCACAGTAGGCTGTTGCTGATAGTATCCGGTCAACGGATATTAAGTATCTTACGTAGACAATTGTTTGTAAATACTTGTACTTTTCTTATGACAGTTGTGGTAGTTCTCACAGCTTCAGTTCCGTACACTAGAACTGTTTTGACTCTCGTATTGAAAATTCTGAATTTGATGTTGGCTTGCAGACAGATATGTTGAATTCCATATGTTCTTCAATTGTAGGAATGCTGTACTTGTTTTACCAATCCTCACCTTTTTGTCTGCACAAAATCTTCCATATTCACCAATGATGTTGTCCAGGTACATGAAAGTTAACACAATAGGCTGTTGCTATTACATTTGTAGATATTTTTATTTAAATTTCGTACTATACATCTCTAACCAGCATTACATAAAAAACAATTAAGTACCAAATACTACAAATTTTATTTATCCTGTTTTTCCATTGAAGATAATTTCGTTCAGAAGACTTAAATAACCATTTGTTGAATAGTTAATCAAAAGTTATTTGATTAGTTACAATCCTCTTGATTTCTTTCATTATTCCTCTTTCTTATCATATCAATTCAGTTTGAACAAATATATATTTTAAAAAAAGACTGATCATCCGGTATATACAACAAAAATCATTGTATGTATACACTTAACACATAATTCATAGGGTCTACATAAAATTCAAAATTATTTTGAACTTTGGTAACCGATCCACATTTCTATTGATCATCGTAATTATCAAACATACTTTATTGTTTACATTATTCTCTTCTTTTATTTCTTTCTTATTTTTTATAACCAGAAAACAACAACAACAACAACAATCTATTCTATGATATTGTGTAAAGTTTATTAAGTTTTCAGTTTCTAAATAAGTAATTCATACGAAATTTATCGTTTTATATAAATAGTATTAAAAACGTTTTTTTTTTAAAAAGCGGAACAATTCGAGCACGCACGCACGCACGCGTGCATGCACTCAAGCACGTACGCACATTCCATTGATGATTGAATCTGAAAGGTGAAAAAAAGTTTTTTTTTTAATATTATGATTTTTTAAAAGATTGTTTTATAACTATAATGAATTGACGAATGGATGTTACTCATTTGGTATAAATATCATTAAAATAAGTAAATATTTCAGTGATACATATAATAGATGTGTCCATATTTGAATGTATGTAATGTTTTGTATCTCTGCCTATGTATATCAATGTATCCATTGTATTTCTTTGGTCATTTTGTTTAGTACTAGTATATAAATGTTAAGAAGTTCAATTTAGAAATCTATAAATGTGTGAGTACTTTTTTAAAAAATGATTTAACATTATATTTAGTCACTTATTAAAAATGAACATAACATATACAATCAGTCAGTCAGTCAGTAACAACGTAGAACTTCGTACCGACGTACATCAGTTCGAGTTGCCACACCACATTAGCACAGAAATGCAGTGGTCGACTCAAATCCCGTAGTGGTAGAGGTAATAAGAGTATAAGCATTAATTACAACGATTAGTGTTTGGAGATGTTATTTAAAGAGTATAATACAGTGAAATAAATTTGGAAAGAGAGACAAAGAGCCAAGGAGGAATAAAGAGATCAAAATTTGGGAGAACACCTGTGTATGCACCTGCGCCATTGCAAACGATTTTGAGCCATGTCATTCAGGGTCTCCAACCATCGGTTGCTATCATCTTGCGGTCCTCAACTAGATAGTCTACACCTAAGGACATGACTCAGACCACTTGTCAGTGACTTCATGGACTTGCGCCATGTTTTGGACTGGTCGCCCCTAGCTTTCTCCCAACCTACTCCTATACCACTGAACATCGCACGTCGAGGCAGTCGGTCGTTGGGCATACGTAACACGTGTCCCAGCCATCTCAACTGATGAAGTTTCACTGCTTCATCAATCGATTTGAACTACGTTTTTTAAGAAATTTAAATTGAATTCATTTTAGTTTTCATTGAGGATCGATATTAGTTGATATGGGGGATATCAATGGCAAACAAGGATCATTGAACAACTGTTTTATTTTAATATCGGAACCGTCTGTAGTACTCATCAGTAGCCCTACGATTGATTGAATTCATTGTTTATTGTTAGTTTCATTTATTTAATTTTCTAGTTCAAACCTATCTTCACCTACTTCACTTTGGATATTTGAACAGTTTCACTTGAATTCATACTCAATATATAGCTCGTAGGCAAGTATACGAATCTATAATTGGTAACGAGTTAACAATATTAGTAATAATTCATTTGTATTGGTTGCTTGAATTTTTCGGCATATGTGTATCATGTGTGGATTGCTCCGATATCGTCATTAACTCACAGGGATTAGAAGCAAAGTTGGAAATTGGCTGGCAGTGTTAATCAGTCCTGTGTTCGAGTTCTGACATGAAAAGTAACTCTGGAGAGGAAGTAAATTCATGACAAAACGCGTGTCTGGATTCCACTGCTAGTCATTATTCATCTTTATTTATAATAGTCATAATATCTTATTCCACTTAGTAGTAGTACTGTGTTAAAGAAAACTTGTATTTCATTCTATGGATTCTTTTCATAAATGCAACAACGTCATAGATGTTAAAGTTTATCTGGTTTATTCAACTTTGATATTGTTTTTATTTTAACTGATAAAATATTAGGTTCAACTGATTTATAGCTTTACACTTATTTCATTTATTCTTACTTGTAAACCATAATCATATATACTTACAAACATTTAGAAAAATCTTACAACGTATTGGGTTGTTTAATACTGGGATCTTCAAATAGAAACACAACATCTATTAGAATATTCTCTTCATTATCTCCTCTTTTGAAAAAAAGTTATACATGAATATATATTGTTATTCTTGCATCATATATATATAATAGATGAAAGAAATTATTGCAAGAACTGAACTAGTTTCAAACGTTCATTACTAAAATTGAATGATAGACACTGATTAATGAAAATCTTTTATCAAATATATGATGTAATGATTACAATTTGAATATATAAGTTAAATAGAAAAAAAATTTTCTATAGAGTTGCTAGGGGAAAGTTTTTACTTAGCTTAACTAAAAAAAATGTGTTGACTTGATCATTTCAGATAAATTTAATGTTGAGCAGATGATTTATTAAGAATAGCCATGAATTCAGTTATTATTACGTAATGAAATCTTTATTATTTATCAATTTTTTTTTATAGTGTGTTCTAAAGTTCTTCTACTAAGATTTTAGTATTTGAAAGGTAGTTAATTATGAAATTACTTGACATGATCTTTAGTGAAACAGAACACGGGTGGGACAACCAAATTATATTTAGTACACCATTATAGAGTTACTTGGTAAAATAGAGGAAACCATACTATAATACTTAATTTACAAAATGTTCAATAAGTGTTTCGAACTTCGTTGTTCTTACATTTCTATACTAATTGCTTTCTATTCCCGTTCATATTTTCTTGATCTTTCCAATCTTCTGCTGCTAGATATTACATTCCTGACTCGCGTCATATACTACTTATATCAATATAAGTAGCACGCACCACAGATCCACTGACAGTTTAATAGAATTAGTCATATTTATGTTTTTATATTCAATTCAGATTCATTGAATAACGAATAATGTTTTTAAATTCATTTTCGATATTTGTTTAAATCAGTGAACTTGTCAGTTGTGGGAAATTTAAATTATAACATA